TTCTATCATGCTTCTTGTTAATAAAAAGGTCTCTGCTCTTTTGAGTGCTTTAAGTACTTGCCCATAAAGAAGTACATTACCTATTGTGATATTTTTTGGGTCATAAATTGCAAGATTTTTTACTATATACTCTAGATTGCTAAGGTTGTCTATTCTCTTTGATAAAATTTTATCTAATACTTTGCTGTCTATGTATCTTCTATTTCTATCACCAAAACCTCTTATATATTGTATTAATTCTGTGTCACCTGGAAGACCTAGTCTGCACTATACTTCTGCTTCTATTTTGGTTTGTTGTTTTTCCATTTGTTTAGCAGTATACATAAAACCTTTTATCTTTTATTTCCTAATTAGGATAGTATCATCATTTGTATGATATACTGTGTTTGTTGTTGTTTTGTCATTAGCTAACTACATGTTCTGGCTGTTTGTTTTCAGGGTCTAAGGTGGTTTTCTACTTTTCCAAAAATAATAACAAAAATTTTATGAACTTTTCAAGCTAAGTTAAAACTAATTAAGAAACTCATATGCTCCGATTTTTGGAATACATGCAGATCATTGACGCTCCCCAAAAATTTAGTTATACAATAGGGTGCGTCAATCAGTTGATATCCAATCATATGTATAATTTTGATAGGTGGGTCTGCTAGTTGATTTAGTAGGTTTTTTTTTGCTGCTGTACATATGTATCAAAAAAGTTTTAATATCTTCATAGCTTGGCACAATACTGTTTTTTATATATGCTAGTGTACCTATTGCTTTTTTTCATATAGAACCTTTTACTGTAGTACATATGATGCTTTGTTGACCAACTTTATGTCTATTAGAAAGTTCCGAAATACATAATTTACTCAGATAACCTGGATAATTTAATCATACCTGGGTAGGGGTTTTCTCAACAGGCCTAATTTCTAAAAAATCACTTATATAATTAAATAAATCAATAAAAATTAAACCAAATAACACATGTACATTAAGATATTAAAGTAATTTATTATATGAGAGATAAATATGAAGAATCATTTGTAGATTCAAATAATTGAACCAAATAATGCACTTATTGTACCTTTGAATGTAAAGACAATGTAGACTAAAAGGTGAGGTTTAAAAAGGTCAGTCACATCATACGATCCCAACGATTTTAAAATATAATTGTTGTTTATATCTATAAACTGAGGTTATTTATTTTTAAAATTAAAAAGATCTTTAAATTTCATGCCAATGTTATACATCAAAATTAAATTTTTTTAAGGATGTTAATGGTTTGACCTGGTTCATGTAATAGAACATTTTAAAACCGATTAATAAATAGAGCTGGATAATTAGAATAATCTGATAGCACTTCATCGATTTAAATCACACTGGAATTTTCTTTCATCTAGGAACAACTGAACCTCAAAAAAAATTCTTTTTAATTCAAACTTAAATATGGTCAAATACAAAGTTCACGTGATTTGTTCGAAGTGCAGCGAAAAACACACTACTTCTACTCCAAACTATGCAATGTATATTGAAAGCACCCAAATTTCTGAATCAAAACAGAAAGAAAAAAACATCAATAAAAATGAAAGAGTAACACTTCGAACACTTATCAGGTTCTGATGCCTAGTTTTAAAAAACAGTACATATGTATATACCGAATTGAGTGTAATTCAGGTACTCTTGAAATTAGGCACAATTCGATCGAAATTCTTCCTATAATTCCTAAGCAAAATTCCCAATTAAAAAACAATGTAAATTTTTTTTTTTAGCATCACTTACATTTCATAATAACAAGACTCCAAGTGCTCTACTGATAGATCTTAGGAAAATTTTGAAAATAAATAAAATGCTTTATTTACCATTTTCAACTTTGAGTCTATTCTTATGATAATGATCATCTATACTCGCTAGAACATAACTTGTCTCAGCAGATTCTTGAAAACAAATAAATGCTCTATTTTCATTCTTTTCAACTGCTATCCCACTGGGAATTCCTATATCAGCAAAATTTTTATAATGAATAAATAAATTTTCGTTGGCCGAAGCTGGCGAAGCTTCATTGCTTCATTTAAATAATATAATAAATAATAATGCATTATATTACACATTATCAAGTCCAAGTAAAATTTCCAAGTTGAAAAGGATCTGTTTATCTGAATTTCTCTCCATTTCTACTATTAAAAATGTCAAATACATAAACAAATATGTATACCGATTAAATGTGCTTCTGAATGTAGCAATATCCAAACCATTAAATTCTTCATGTTCATTCATTTAAAATAATTGGCACTCTTAGATATAAAGAAATAAATATGCATTATAATCAATTATGGATTCGCTTGCAATAGTAAAATAAACCTGCTCTTACCCTAGTGTGTTAATATTCTTGTTTAGGGTTAAACACATGAAAGGTAAAAATATATGGATCTCTGCTAAAAAATCAAAATTCTAGACAGTGAATCATATAATTTGATCTTGATTTTCTTAGTAAAGATCACGTATATTTTGTTACATGAATAAATGAATATTACTTACTAATTAACAGCTTTTGAAATTGATCTTAGAAAAAAAAAATTTAATTTTTCCACTTCAAAACTACAAGATTTCAACTACTATACCTACTTCTCTATATTATTGCTACTCGTGTTCTTTTTTTTTTTATAGCATTAACTCTAACAGAGAACAATGGGTATTAACAATAAGCTCTATCACATTCTAGTGATGTTAATCAACCACATGAGAACAGTAGACTAACTCAAATACATTTCTTTATTTTCTTATTCCTGTTCTAATGAATATGACAGATGATATAAGAAAATGCTATTACCAGGTATGGGCATATTATGTAAGCCGAATCATCTGTTTCTTTTTTTATCGCTTCGCTTTGTATAATGTCTGACCTCAATCATTCTATTAAGGAACAGAATTAGATGATTACAAAAGCACAAGAATGAAGGTTATGTTTATAAGATAAAATAATATTAGGATTACTGATTTTTCTTTTTAATTTAAAGTAAAATATTCCAAACTGTAAAGGGATTGGATAATTTGCTCAAACTATAGTAGCTCTACAATTTTTTATGGATCTTTAAAAAGCTATTATTCTTTAAATTACGAATTCTCACTTTTGTCTTACCTATATAATTCACTTTAAGTCCACTTGGGCGTATGTCAGTAAATGGGGAACCTTATTTAAAATTTCAGAGAAATAAGGAATAAATAATAACATTGCCATAAGAATTAAAATTAGATAAATCTAAATATAAAAGAAATAATATTTATAATCTTAGTTCAGATACCTGGATCATAAATTCTAATGATAAAGGATTTCTGAAGAAATAGTTGTACAGATTAACATCTTTTAGACTTTTTTTTTTTAAAAAAAAAAAGCATTATATTTGGTATTGCCTGACCTGATATTATGTAAGAAATAAGTTGAACCATTCTTTTGCTTTAATTGTAAAAAGAATAGGGTCTGTATTTGGTTCTTTTATAAGTCTGTAAAGTAAATAAAAATTTTTCTACAAATAATTGTTCAATATCACCTGTTCTTTGTCAAAAATGACTTCTAAATTGAAATCACGCAATACCTTTTCTTATCACCTCTTATTAGAGACATATGAGACCAAATTTGCATATTGATATATCAAAGTAAGGTATTGTCGCCCTTATTATAAATCACCCATACCCTTAAATCAGTTAAGCATACCAGTATTTAAAGGTATCATAATCTTACTAAAAATGAAAAGTTGAATGATTATCTATGGCTAGTATTAATCAATTCTGATTGGTTATTTGATGTAGGAATTTTTTAATTTAAATTTTTCGAATATTTCTCTTCAAGAGATTATTTATATACTGTTGATCTTTTTAGTATTATGAACAGCTTTAAAGAATTATCAGGTTTAAGAAAATGCCATCAAATTTTCAGTAATTTTGAGGTATCTGAAAAACTTATCTGTTATCTGTATGGTATGTACGAATGTTAACAGTTATTAATGCAGGTTGACAACCAGTTGAATTAAAAAATCATGTAACTTGTATTACTTTAATAAATAATCAGTGTTGTGTTGTTTTTCTGTGGATCTCATCTTCTCAGACACGATAATGTCTCTCGATCAAAGCAAATATCCTGAAAATAATCCATTTTCACTTAAACAAAATAATACAAATTATAAGTATCACATTATTAATGAAAAATTTTATCCACCCAAAAATAAAGTATGGTATACTTTAGCATCTTCTTATAACAAAACTCAATATAAAGCTCTGGATAGTTATCTAGTTCGGACCAGTTGGGGAAGGAACAAGTCACACCATACAGTAGAATGTGAAATAGAATATGAACAAGATGGACCAGTTTTTATAATAAGATTTGAAGAAAATTCTCAACAATATGTATTAAATTCAAAGAAATCTCCAACTGCAATTGCTAATAATTATCTAAAAGTCAGTACAGTTTTGTGCAATTTTTGTGCAAATAACTAGATAAAATTAAAATAAAATGAAATTTTTTATATAAAAAAAAAATTTATATAGAAAAAAAGTCCTAATACTCGTGCAACAATTTTCAGAATCCATGTATTTGGCCTCAACGCCATAGATGTGAAATGGGAGTGTAAAAAAAAAAAAAAAACAAAGACAGTTTCTTTCTCTTAAACCATTTAATTCTCTGAGTGAATCTATGAAAACCAAAAGGTCTCGTGCATTTTCTATACATCTAGGTGAAGTTTTTGATAATCAGGTTTCAAAATTTTTTAACTTACTTGACCAACTAGTCCTACAAGAAGTTAAATTCAATGTTCAAGATAAAAATTTTGTAATTGACTATAATGATGATTACAAAGAAAATAGCGATAATAATAGATTCCTTGTCCTATTTTTGAAAGTTATTGAACAGGGTCCGATATCTTATCATGCTTATCGTAAACTAGCTAAAATTCAGCCTGAATTACCATGAGCATATGAGATTTCAGATACCGGAACATGAATTAACCAAGAAATAAGCATCAAAATATCTATTTTTACTCTAAATATTGAAAATATGGCTCTTGAAACTTCTAATATTGATGTTGATATAGGTAGGATAAAAGTGGATTTTCGTTACAAATAATTCAAAATTTAATTTCACTAATTTTAATAGCTTCATCCCTCTTTACAGATAATAGTGATCAAGAGATCGAAGAGGAAGTTTTAAAATATATCAGTAAAGCATGCTATAGGTGCATTACTGATATCTTCATATATATAATTCCGAGTCTTGTAGACCAAAGCATTCTTAATACAAATAACCCTGTCATTAATATTCGAATTTTGGGTGATGGGCGTAACATCAGTAGAACAATCAGCCACATGATGATAACGTGCACAATTTTAGATGATATGTTAAACATTCATAAAGCAGATTTTCATTACACATAAATTTTATACCTGGAGGTAGAAAATTATGAAATCCTAAAAAAAGTAATGAAACCCTTTATAACTGAACTAAATAATTTGACAACAAATGAACTAGTGAACTCATATGGTATAAAATAGAGAATTGAATTTTACTTCAGCAGTAACTGGAAATTCATGACTATTATATTAGGATTCAATGCCCCAAATTCGAATAATTTCTGCCCTTGATGCTTCTGCACCAAAAAAGATATTGGAAATAAAGACAAAACATATAAAATTGAGAAAACTATAGATTCATTGAAATCAGATTCACTACCACCAGGTCACCTCAAAACTTCTCTCCTTCCCATGATCTGTTTGGACCAGTATGTGCCTGATGAGTTGCATATTATGTTGAGAATATGGGATTGTCTCTGGGAGTTGGTAATTCAAGAAATCAAGTCAGAAAATAGATATGATAACTACATAAGAATGATAATTAGTTTAGAAATAAAAAGGATTTCTGTCACGTTTTAATTTTGGCAAAACCATGATACACAAAATTGGTTATATATGTCTATAATGGGAGGCGACAAAGAAAAGGTATTGCATGATTTCAATTTTGAAGTCATTTTCGATAAAGAACGGGCGATATTGATAAACCATTTGTAGAGGGATTTTTATTCACTTTACAGACTTATGAAAGAGCTAAATGCAGTCCCCACTCTTTTCACAGTTAAAGTAAAAAAATGGTTCAACTTATTCCTCACACCGTATCAAGGCATACCAAATACTAGAACCTTTAAAAAAGGTCTCTACCACCCTAAAGATGTCACACCTTATATACATATTCTGGTACACCATGTACCAGAATTTATGGTGCATTGCCAGAATTTTGGGTTGGCTGCGTTTTTCTGCGCAGCGATTGAGAAAAAAAAACATGACCAGGTTTTTCTCTTTTACAAAAAGTCAATAAAAGATGAAGGCAAAGGCATGAAAAGAAAATCTGCCATTCTTGAAATACTCAATTATGAAAATTGATCATTATATTATACCTATCAATCTACTTTTAGTTCAATATCTAAACCTCAATATCTTCATGTTAAGAAGAAAGTGAAGATTTCATAACATTTTTTAATAAATGATTGTCTGATTTTTATAATTGATAAATTTTAATCATTTAAATTGTTAAATGATTAATTAATATGGTGATAGTGTTATAAAGTAAATCTTCAAAATATCAAGCTGGAAATCCAGCTTAATTTTAATTATTAAGAATCTTTTTCCTTTTTTTTTTTTACGGTAGTTAAACAAAAAAAAAAATTAGAAATTTTAATAAATAAAAATTATAACTTTTCTGAATAAGTAATATTTGAAGTGATTGGAAAGTGTAGTTACTTCGATTCCAAAAGCTTTTATCACTGACTTTTAATTTTTGAGTATACAATATTTAATGCACATTTATAGTTGAACCAAAACAAATTAAGACAGACTTTCTATTCATCTAATGTTATCTATTATTATAATCACATTAACAACTCTAATTTTAATGCGGTCAAGTATTATCCCTATCTAGGTGCCGTAAATTAAATTACTCTAATTTGTAAATATTTCGGTTCACTATTTTGTCACCTTCCATTTGGTCTCAGCAAAATCAAACAAAAACTTGATTTTCAAGATTTTGAATCTATCAATTTACAATACTGTGCTTTAATTACAAAATCTATTTTTACTCTAATCTGACTTCAAACTTCATGATAAGTTACCATGAAGCATAAAGTAAGATTGGATGCTCGTTAGGTTTATATATTTACTAAAAATAAAATTGTATTTAATGCCAATACTTTAAATTGATAGATTCAAAAACTTGAAAATCAAGTTTTTGTTTGATATTGCCATGCACTACTCTCATAAAAGCATATGTGACCAATTTTGTTATCATAGTTTTGCCAAAATCGAAACCCGACGGAAATCCTTTTTATTTCTAAACTAATTACCATTCTTATATAGTCATCATATCTATATTCGGACTTGATTTCTTGAATTAACAATTCCTACAGGTTGAAATGTAGTGAAGGCAAAACAATAATTATACATTTGGTGCGATATTCTAAAAACAACATATATGAAAAGTTAAAAAAACTCACCCAGGTACTTTCAAAATTTTATAAAAACTACTGACAATTCATAAAAATTGATTCCTATTGTGCTGATCATGATCGAGTAAATTGACAAATAACTGGCTTAAAGGGTAATCTCTAAAGGCTTAAATTGCTACCTGGAGTCCTATTAAATTGAATTATGAATAAAAAAATATAAATCTTTTATACTTAATTCAACTCATAAAATCACGGTTAAGGGTCACTTTGATTGGCCAGCTATCAAGATCGTTCACAAGTACTACAATTATTGAAGCAATCATTATGGTAATTTTGCTAAAGATTTATATTGCGAAATGTGGATATTAAATTTTAGCCAACCAGTAAAACTCTAATAAAAACATTTGACCGGCTAAACTATTTTTCATTAAATCAAAATTGAGCACTGACCTAAGTGCTTGAGTACCCTAACTTACCATTGCAAATTTTAGCCTTAAATAAAAACAAGTTTGCTTCATCTAGAGTATAGAACTTATCTTTCATTTCATTAGTCAACATTCATTCATACATACAATTTAAATCCATTTCAATATATAGGAATATACTCTCAAGAGCCTTATAAAGGATGTCATCTCCATAGCGCAGACTATTCTATAAACAATTAAAGTATATCATATGATTTAGAATTGTCACTTAAAAGTTGGTTTAACATATTATCTTAACTATACCTTGAATCCGGAATATAGGCACAAAAAAATCACATATCTTGGATCTTTCACACGGCTTAAAATAGAATTTTGGATTTGGATACTACTATTTTTCAATGAAAAAATTAAGCTCTCATTACACTTATGTATTCTCATCATTAATTAGTTTGTCCCATCCATTAGGATTGTATCCACCAAAAATTTCGTCATATCTTCAACCTTCACATTTACAACAACATTTGTTTGACTATTACATAAATTTCAAAATGAAGCAGAAGTAAAACCATTTCTGGTTCCATAAAGAAGTAATTCAAATTCATATAGATTGATTGTTACAGAATATGCATCTGATCTTTTATCAATCCATGAAGCAATTTTAGCCGTGTGTACTTTACAGATAATTGTTAAAAATGGCTTAGTTGTTCTGGGTAGTAATGCTTGTTTTAAAACTATACGATGTAGAAGAATTACTGGAAATATTAGTCTGTTCAGAGGTTTCATTTTTACACAAGTAACTGTAGATATTCGAGCACCAATATCAACAAAAAAAAAAAAATTAGAAAAAAACAACTCATTCAAATCCATATATTGATATTATTATTTATTTGATTTCTTACGACCAATTAACTAAAGAATATATATAACTCTAAACCTGTAATGTATAAAAATTTAAGTACATGTATCCAGTGGAGGTTTGGTTATTTTTTGCATCTTTCTTGTGTTTTGTTTTCCATTCAACCGTTAGTTCTGGAAATCTAGACTTTTTCTTATGATTACTTCTTTTCTCAGCTTGTGCATCGACCAGTAAGATAAATGTTTGTTGATTATTGTCAAAAAATTTATGCCCCTAATTTTGGTTATCAAATATACTAGCTAATTGCATGTAAGCATCTGGTCCATGAAAAAAACACTTGTAGCTATTGTTTTTTCAATTAAAATAATGAATATAACCCTTAAAAACCTCAAAAAATAAACTTTCTAGACAGGGAAATGAAAGAGTTTGCCTTCCTGATTGTGTAAAATGCACTTTAAGTTTACTACCTATAATATAAATCAGATCCTTCTTAAATTGATTAACTGCTTCTAATGGTAGCACATATAAGCTTTTACAATGAATATTATACTTTTGTACAATACTTTGGTGATGATTAAAACCTCTTTTTGTCTTATATTTTATTCCACAAATTTTATACTTAAACTCTTGTAAAGTATAGTTGGTAATTAAAACTTTTGGTTCAATAAAAATATATGAGTATGAACACGAATTATTAGTCATATTAAATCTACTGTATATTAAAAAATAAATTAGTTTTATAATATTATATATAATATTGTATAAAGCTTATTCTTACTTGGCTTAATCCTCAAAAAAAGCAATTAGTTTTGAGGTCAGGCAATTGGTTTGATGTGCCTTTAATATATAAAATTTTTGTTTTGTAAATCATTTAAAATAAAAAATAATCAGCTAATAACTGATTTTGGGATACAAATTAATCTGCTGATATATAATTTAGAGTTCTAAAAAAAGGCCCAATTCCAAAAATTGGAGCATATGAGTATACCTGCAGGTCAACTTATCTAAGTTTACTCAGATGGATATAATTATAATCTGTATATCTGATCTATTTAAATATATATGGGTTAGTCCTATCTGATTTAATTACTAGCAAAAATAATTAAAGAAGTTTAAAGCATTATTAACTTTTTTAAATAGGATCTACATAAATATAAAATACAACCAATTGCAAGAGCATTCAAATATCAACTATTATCAAAAAAAAAAAATTTAAAGACTTCAAAAAAAATTAATTAAAATCAACAACAAAATTGTCAAAGAAGAAGATCAACAGAGCTACTTGCAGTTTGTAATAATATTAATACTCAACTGCAAGATGAAATTTAAGATCTGTTTAACAAATAGCAAACTAAGTGTAACATCAAATAAATAAAAAAAGAAAAAATCTACTATGTTTTTTTACTTATTATATAAAATTAAAAATAGCATATTAGTTAAAAACAAAGTTCAAATTTCTAATAGTAATTAAGCTTAGAACTCTTTAGATGTTTTGCATTACATCAGAGAAGTTTATTAAGATATATACAAAGCCAAAAAAATAAACAAAAAGACAATAAATTTCTTTATACAAAACTTATTATCAGTAACAATATCATATAACTAGGCTCTAACTAAAGACATTTTAGAAAAAAAGTTAATACTATAATTAACTAGAGTTTAATAGTCTTAATTATAAATTTTACAATAAAATTAAAGATAAAATCCTTTTAGTAATGGTTAAATTGTTCAATTACTGCTTGAATATAGACACAGTACTGAAATTTTGGACCAAAAGCATTATAACTTTAATACTTAAAAAATTAGACAATTTTTTTGATCTTAACAATTGAAGATCAATCTTACTTATAAACTGTAACAACAAAATATGCTTAGTAATAGAGTTAATCTTATTTGCAAAGAAATAATTAGCCTAGCATAACAAGCTTTTATAAAAAAAAAATTAATTATTAATGTAGCACTAAATATTATTATAATAATAAAAAATCAAAATAATCAGACTTTCTTATATTGGCTACTATTGCTAAATTAGTAAAAGGCATTTGACAGAATTAGTCATAAATTTATAATACAAGTGTTAGACAGTATGAGTTTTGATTACAATTTATAAGAATTATTAGATCTATTCTTGATTTATAGATAGCTTACATTTTAGAT